CAGAAAGCAGTGGCACATATTTGTGCTGCTTTGTGCCACAGGGCATGCCCCTGCACGTGCCCTCCGGCACCGGCCAGCTTGTCCAGGTGGGGTGGGGGAGGCTGGTCCCAGCAGGTCCAGGGCCACTGTGGCACTGATCTTGCCACACAGACACTGGCCGGCACCCAGAGCATGGCTCAGGATGGCCAGGCTCCATTTCTGGCAATGCATACTGCTGCCACATGCACCATGCCACTCTTTGCAATGGGTTTTGTTTTATCCTAGTATCAGATTTTGGCATTGCGCTGCAAACAACTGAATGTTCACTGCTTGTGGCTTGCAGCGCCGCAGACCACACGTGCACATCTGTCTGGGTGCGCCCAGTGAGATTGGGTCACGTTCCTCAATGATTAGTCCTAGAACTGTAATTTTGGAAGGGAGCCCCTAGGTTCTTACTGGCATATGGCACCGGTCCTTGCCATTAGTTGACTGCAAAAGCAGCACCAAGTAGAAATATTTGGGGAATCATCAGCATTTATTATTAATCATATGTATATCGTGTTAGTTGCTTGTGTCCCTTTTTATACTCCAAGATGGACATTGTGTGCTAAGGAAATGGGAAGAGTAGTATCACTTGAAGTTGTAAAGAAAACTTCCTGCGGGAACGCACTCAACCCTGGCTTGGCCTGCTTTCCCAGACAGCACTGTATTCACCTCAACTTCATGGTGTTTTTAACCTAGGAGAGACCCGGTTGTTGGCAGCAGCAGGATGAAGTCGCCTCCCTGCTGCATGTCCCTTTCTTCCCAAGCATCCCTAGAGGAGCAAAGGGATACCACTTCACTGGGTTCCTTGGAGTCCAGCGTCTTCTACAGTGAGGAAGAGCAGGGGCCCTTGCTACAGAAGGTTGTGCCCTCCTTGGACTGTTTCACTATCAATGTGGGAGGCAGCCGCTTTTTGATGTCCCAGCAAACTTTGTCCTGCTATCCAGACACACGGCTTGGCAAGTTGGCTGTAGTTGTGTCTGCTGCCCGGGATGTAGCTTCTGGCCTCCTAGAGCTCTGTGATGATGCCAACCTGGTAGAGAATGAGTATTTCTTTGACCGCAGTTCACAGGCATTTCTCTACATCCTGAATTATTACCAGACAGGAAGATTGCATGTGATGGAGCAGCTGTGTGCACTCTCCTTCCTACAAGAGATCCAGTACTGGGGGCTAGATGAGCTGAGTATCGACTCCTGCTGCAGAGACAGGTGAGCATGGAGGAAGAGAGGAAAATAAAGGTGTGGGATGGATGCAGTCAGCATCACCTTCTGCTGCAGAACTGACAGGTTGTGGAGAGGAGAGCTCTAGTAATGTGGGCTGAATGTGTTCAGGATGAACTCCTCTTGAAAGGCATTAGGGTAATAAAGGAGATGTACTTGCTCTAGGCTGAAGAAATTCAGCGTCAATTCCTGCTATACAGACAGGTGAGTATTGGGAGAGGAAGGAAAAGACTGGATTAGATCACTTTTGACTGTTACTTAGTGGGACAGGCTAGCACTATGGCAGACCAATACAGAAGCAGTGGGCAACTTCAGCATCAAGTCCTGCCGCAGCAGCAGGCTGATGCTGGAAATTAAGGTAAATGGAAATATCTGGGGATGTGTAAGTAGGGCAGAAGTGAAAAAGAGGGAATTTTAACTGGTAAACAGATATGAGCAGAAGGCGGAGAGGTGGGAAGTCTGTGGCAATTATTTATTTTAGGATTTTTTAAATTAATCTTTTCATTATATTTGTTGTGATTAAATTTCCCATTTATTTTTGGTTTACTGACTTATTTGTCATTTCTAAAAATGGTAAACGTTACTTTCCCCAAACAGGCTTACTGCTATAAATGTCTTCCTGCTGCTACTGTTGCAGTTGCAACAGTGCAGTGTCCCTTCATCTGGCTTCTGCTACAGAAATCTGGGAAGGGGGTAAGGGAACAGCGGGCTTTCTCGCGTTGCTGGGCCATGGATGCCACCCTGGTCAGGGGTCACCCACTCTGGTGTCTCTTCTAAGTTAGCTCCTGGGGCTGGTGCCCTTCTCACCCACCCAAATATGGTCCCGATGTGTACAGCTAACGAATGTGAATTGGACTTTCTAGGAGGGGTGGGCAAAATGGTGGATCTTGCTGGTGGCCAGACTCCATTTCCCAGCAGTCCCTACCTGCATCGCTGCGAGTTGTTTCCACCCTGCCCAGGGTGTGCAGGCAGCAGATCATGGCCCAGACCACACTGTTGCCACAGATTCCTGGCTCCAGCCCAGCCATGCACCCTGCCTGCACGACTTGGGCTCCTCTCCATGGAAATCCTGGCCCCTGCACTGTTACGGCGCCACCGCTCCTGGGATCTCCATGGAAACCAGCTGCAGTGCATGGGCAGGGGCTGCTGGGAAACGGAGTCAGCTACAGCCTTTGCCTGTCCCTCTTTTCTAGTGTAATGGTTAGGGCCCTCGCCCAGGAGAATGGAAAGCTGACTTTCATTCCTTGCTATAATTAATAATTTTGTATGTTATATCAAGTGGAACAGCTTTGATTATAGAGAGCCACCACACAATACCTGTGTTCTAGGGGTTAGAGAGGTGGGTTCGGTGCTCCATAAACAGAGGACAGAGTTGCACCTGGTTTTCCATATCCTAAGTGAGTGCTCTAACCAGTGGGCTATTGGCTAAAAGGGCGAATACCTCTTCTCATTCTGTTTTGGAGATGGGGAGGCTGAATGCAGTCTGACCAGATTTATTAGAATAAACCCTGTGAAAGAGATATGGCAAATGGCTATTCTTGGATCCTAATGGGGTCTGGTGTGAGATAGCCAGACTGCACTGAGCTGCTCACCTTTAGGTGGTTTTGTGCACGTGCAACAGCAGAAACTAAGACACCAAGGGACTTTTTCAAGCAGAAACTTAGGTGCTGACTGAGTTGAGGTGTCTACACTTTAGGTGTGGTTTTGTGTAGTCTAAAAGTTGGACTTAGGTACTCAAATTAATTTTAGATGCCTGAGTGTCCCCTTCACCATAAATCTAGAACCCAAGGTAAAGATTTCAAGTGATAAAGAGACCACTATGTCCTTTGCTGTGACACTTGATGTTTTACAGCTCTTGGTCACTGTTTTGCCTCTCAGCCAGTAAGAAGGAAAGAAAGGGGTGCATGGTGTTCTTCGGGAGTTATTTGGTTTGAAGGAAGTAATCCACAAATATGGCTTTGATGCAGCAGAGCACTTAAGCTTATGCTTAATATCCATAATACTTATTTTAACAAAGGTGCTTTAATTGGGATGTAAATGTTTCATTGAAGTATAGAAAGATATTCTTGACAAAACCTTTTCATAGAAAGAACATCATTTTTAACGTGAACTTTCCTTCTTAGCGTTACAAATAAAAAAATCAATTGCAATAAAATTTAAATGTTTAATTAATAAATGCTAATTTGAACAAATGGAAAGGCTTACTTCTGTCAGCCTTACTCACATGAATGCACCATTATCATGACTAAACTCATAGATGTTGAGATCACTCATAAATAGGGCCTTTGGGAATCCAACATATTGTGTACATTTCACTTGGGTATGTTTTCTTATACCCTGGCCCTGCCCTTCATAACTTGCATGAGTGATACAGGAGCATAACTCGAGTAACAGTGTGTTGCATGGCCCCAGTTCAGTGAGGCACTTAACCATATATTTGAAGTAGGTGTTCAAGTCCTGTACTGAATCAGTGTCTTTCTCCATACGTTTTAAGATGTAGTCTTGGTTCTATATGACTTACAATGAATGTGAAAGACAGTAATAAAAAAAATGTAAATATTAACATTAAAGGTTTGTTCTTTGGGATGGGTTCCTTGGACAGATACTTCAGGAGGAAGGAACTGAGTGAAACCTTAGATATCAAGAAAGATACAGAAGATCTGGATGCCCAAGATGAAGAAGAGGACTTCTCTGGGAGCCTCTGTCCCAGTGTGAGGCAGAGGCTTTGGGAGGTTCTTGAAAAGCCTGGCTCTTCTGTGGCTGCTAGGACTTTCGGTACCCTTTCTATGGCCTTCGTTGTTGTGTCAATTGCCAACATGGCCTTGATTTCAGTGGAACTGAGCTGGCTGGCACCACCGCTCCTGGATGCCCTGGAGTATTTGTGCATTGCCTGGTTCACAGTGGAATTCTTACTGAGATTCCTGTGCACAAGGGATCGGTGCCGCTTCCTGAGAAGTGTTGCAAACATCATAGACCTCTTAGCCATTTTACCCTTCTACATCACTCTGCTGGTAGAAAGCCTGTGTGATGGGGAGAGCTCTGAAGAGCTGGAGAATATGGGGCGCATCATCCAGGTGCTGAGGCTGCTCAGAGCCCTACGCATGTTGAAGCTGGGTAGACATTCAACAGGTACCGCCAGCTAATGTATTTAAAACAATATCAGTTGTAAATATTTCCCTGACAAAAAGACAAAGGAAAATAACCATGCAAGGTAACCAGATAAATATTGAATTACTCATACAGGTTGCCTTCTTTGTCTTATTAATGAAATTTGAACATCTCTAGATGTTAGAGATGGGAATGATCCCTTGATTGTGCAGAACTATTCTGTCTCGGTGTGTATTTATACATATTTGTTTTATCCCACCTACCTTTTACTGTCAAGTAATGACTGGTGGAAACAGTTTTTTGAAATACTTGACTGAAAGCAGTAGTAGGCCTACTGCTGTAAATTCTCAGAACTCTGATTGGAGTCAGCTGGCATGCTGTGTACACAGCAGTTCCACAATCAGGCCCTAAGGTGTGGTGTGGTGGTGTTTTGTTTTGTTGGGGGGTTTTTGATTGGGTGGGGGACTTTTGAACTATTCATACTATTCACTTGCATTTGAGAAAGTGAAATGAAAATGCGGCGGGGCAGGAATGATGAACTTTTGTGCCATTCGTGTTGTGTGTTGGAAGATGTAACTCCTGAGAATTTAAGTTTTGATTTCTTTCCCTGATATAATGTGAAAGAAGCATATGATGAATTTATTCTCAGACTTACAAAACAAGCTTTTTCTTTGGGGAACAACATTTTCAGAGAATTTATTTCAGAGAAATTGCTTAAATGAATTAGACCAAAAAATGAAATGATTGGATGTAACCCATTCATGACCATCTTAAATACATTAAGGATGGTATTTTCATAAGTTCTCACTGTTGCTTTAATTGTACTCCCATTGAAATCAGTAATAAAATTTTCATCAACTTTGGCTGGGGTTGACTTAAGCCAGCATCTGAAAATCCCTTCCATAAAAGTGTAGTTTATTAATTAGGGATCTATCATGACTAGTAGGCCCACATAAGACTGGTATAGTTCTGTCAACAGAAAAAGGAGGTCTCTTACACTTTCAGAAAAATGCTTTGCAAAATTCCCTAGAGGCAGGCAGAGGGATTTGATGCTACGCCTCGTCACAGAGTTAAGCTATACCCCTTTAAAACTGTCTGTGAAGGCTGTGGTTCAGCCTTCATTCTATTTTGTTATAATGGAAGTGGGCCCACGAAGAAAACATTCACCTAAGAAGTGAATTTGCATCTCGCCAAGCTCTTTGTAGTGTTCCTAAATAAATGAAAAGCACTCTCCTTCTATTTTAAAAGTAAGGAATAGACCCAGTTTGTCATAGCAGAGTAGCAGTGGTTTTCCATTTGGTGATCCAAAAAAATATGTTGATGCTAATTATTTTTCAAAAGTATTGTCACTTTATTTTGTCTTACACTTGTAAGGTCAGGCCATGAAATTGATCCCTGTGACAGTTTCCAGTGGCAATGCTAGAGGTTTGTAATGACAGCTACTGTCATCCAATACATTCGCTTTGAAATATGGGGTCACGTCATTAAACCTTCAGCTTCACTTTATCTTTCAAGTGCGGATTACATTTAACAAGATAATGTCTCACTCAGCATAATTCTGTCGTCTCGCAAGACAGACAGATGTCTACCACTGCTGCTATCTGTGTCTCTCTTGTGGAGTTTAGTTGTTTACTTAATATAAAAGGGTTAGATGATCCTATTAAACTGATAACTCTTCTAGCCTGAGACTGAAATATCACCTCTCCTCTAAAACTGGAAATGGGAGCCTGTTTCTTTAGTATACAGAAATAGATGCAGCTTAACTATTTACTTCATCAGTGCAAAGGAATTTAACTACCAATAGTTTTAAATTGTGTATTTGTTTTTGATAGTTACAGTTAGCCAGTCACCCTGGTTCAGAGCAGTAAATCAAAACCACCAGTTTCCATATAATTTAAATGTTGTTAAACAGCATCTTCTGGCAGAGTAGATGTTGCTGCTAAGATAATATAAACCTAATAAATTTGAGTAGAAATATACACTAACAGATCTGGAGCCTGTTTGTTTGCTTTTTGTTGAAGACAACTAAACTTTCACCAGTCTGTTACTTTGATTCTAAACATATACTGTAACACAGTCATTACTGTAAGATCATCCTCCATATTCCATGAACACAGTGTATCCTCCATAAACATCCCTAGGGGATCAGTTATCCACTTGTACATCATCATCCTCAGAACAGTGTGAAATTTCTTTTTGAAAATGTGAACTCCCCACCCCACAAAAGGGGAGGTCAAAGACTGGGTGGCCCTATTGTGAGTAGGTAAGAGTATGGCTGAAGAAAGTTCATCATGCCCTATATATTTTTAGAGGAAATAATAGATCCAGCCATTTACTATGTCAGGGGGTTATACCATCCATGGCAGGTAACAAGGAAATAAAGGGGGCAGTTCTGCCTTTGCAAATGGTGAGATATTCTTGGGAAATGGATGCAGTACTTAGAAATATGGAGTTAGAATCACAGGGGGGATGTAAGCATTTCAATTAATATTTATTATGCCAACCGTATTGGCGTAAAAAGGTTTGAAAGTTCTGCTCAGGCAGACAAAAACAAATAATACAGATAAGAATAACCAGTAGACTGAGGGTTAGGACACTCTTCAGGGTGAGAAATACAGGTATGACCCTCCTCAGGCTGACAAGGAAATTGAACCTGGGTGTCATACAACCTTGGGAAGCTGTGCTGATGACTATGCATATGAGTAGGTATCACACCTCTCCTCCCTGCCTGCTGGCCAAGTTTTGTGCATCTCTAGATGCTCCAAGATCTTGTCTGACTGAGAGACCTGTGACAAAACAAGAAGAGAATTGCCTGGTTTGGAAATCCTGGTAGGATTTCCTAAATTAGTCACAGAATATTCATGACCGAAAGGGTAGGGAGGAGGAGGAGGACAATGACCTTCCCATAGTTTAGCCCAATAGCACAGTGTTTAAAGTATTTGCCCAAGGAGCAGAAGAGTCAGTTGTACTTCAGGGGTTTGTACCTGCATCCCCTGTTTCCTGATAACGTGTTTAGCTGTGCACCTGAGAGAAGGAGGTATGTGCATCCTGGAGGAGGAAAGCAAACCAAAGGCTTGAAGAGATGGCTGCTGCCCTAGCTGAGAGGAGGCGCTAGGCTCTAGCTTGGGACCCAGCTTTAAGAGAAGGGCTGGAAAAGTTCCTGGGCAATGTCTAGTCTCTAGTCTGGTGATTAGACCACCTTGGTAAAGCAGGACCTGCAAGTTCAAGTTCACTGCGGGTGAGGAGGAGCCCAGAACCTTGGTGGCCTTGACATTTGGACACATACCCCAACCATAGGTTGTACAAAGTTGACTCCTTAGTATTTGGATCAGTATCCTAGCACCTGTGTACATGCCATTTAGGCATGTAAAGTGAAATAGGATTTAGTGCCATGTCCCTCAAAGTTAGGCAGCATCTGCATAACAGGTCTATGGGGTCAAACTTTGAGGTTAGGCTCCTAAATTTATACAATACAGGGCCAGGCATTGGAATCCGGTACACCTATGCAACAGATGTAGGTAGCCCAAGTCGTATCTCAGTCTTTTGTATGATAAACTAAATAGACTGAGTTCTTAAAATCTCTTGATACAATGCACTGTTCCAGTGTTTGAATCTAATGCATAGCCCTTTTGTCACCCTCTACAATTTTCCAACAGAATTGTTTTGTAGACAAATTCAGCCAAGAAATAAGGCACAGTTATTTTTAATGGTGAAGATCATTGGAACAGTAGACACAAATGGTCTCACCAATGTCAAACACTGAGGTAAAAATAAATATCTTACTCCTACTTATTACTTTCCTGCTTATCTGTAGATGATAGAGCAGCATCCAATTCATTTTAAGTATTTACTACATGGGCCAAATCCTGGCCAGTAAAGGATAAATTAATGCTTTTGCATGAAACAATACTGACAGTGCTTTAATTTGCAACACCTCCATTCTGGGTCTCAGCAAAAGGGGTTACTCATCCATCTCAATTCTGCGAGATGATGAATGCAGTTAATGTCCTTGGAAGCTAAGAGTTGTCAGGTCTGGGCCTGTAAAGGCTGATCTGAAGACTGTTCCTGTTCTACTATTCCTTCCCTTCCTACAGTGAAACAAGAAATAATGGTTTTAACCGCAACAAGGCAAATTTAGGTTGGATATTAGGAAAAACTTCCTAGTTTTAAGGGTAGTTAAGCATTGGAAGACCCTTCCTAGAGAGGGCGTGTAACTCATTTCCTTGGCAGCTTTTAGGATAAAGTGAGTCAAACACCTGTCTATGATTATTTAGATAGGGATGATCCTACCTTCAGCAGGAGGTTGAACTAGATTCACCTCTTGAGGTCTCTTCCAGCCCTATTTTTCATTTTTCTATGACTAGAACTCCATTGGTATACTTTATTGGGATAATTTATAAACACTTTCCAGAAAGTGTCTGTGATCAGAAGGATAATTTGGGTCTTTAATGTACAGAATGTCCTGTTTTGTGGACATGTATTTCTTATAAATTTATGTTTGTCTGGGGTTTATTCCTTCTCACTTGTATTTGCTTTTCCACTCTTTCTTTGTCTGACACAATATCCTGGAAGCAGCAATTCTGCGTAAGCAGCAGAGCATATACTCCCAGTACAACACTGCAGCCAAAAGAGCTAATGCGATTCTTCATTGCATTACTCAGGAGAATATTGAGCAATGCCTGCTGAAAATCTGTGTCCGTTCCAATGTCCATAATTCAGGAAGGTTGTTGCTAAATTGAAGATTCAGAGAAGAGCCCTGAGAATGATTAAAGGATGGGAAACATGCCTTATAGTTCAGGAACAAAATATGTTTAGCTTAAAGAGACGTTTGAAGAGGTGAATATATGTATAAATAGCTACTTGGGGAACAGTGATTGAAAACAGGGATCTTCTGTCCAGCAGAAAAGGTGCTACAAGATCTAATAGGCAGAAATTGAAGGTATATTCAGACTTTAAAGTATAGTACATATATTCAATGATGAGAATAATTAAGCCCTGAATAGTTTAACATGAGTAATGGTGGAATTTCTGTCACTAGCAATTTTCTGATGAAGCTTAGGTACTTTTTTGAAGAATATTTAGTAGTTTGAATAAAAATAAATTCAGGGAGATCCTGTGGTCTGCATTGTTCAGATCACACTGGACGATCATGTTTTCCCAGCAGAGCTCAAAACAGCCTCACCTTCTCATAAAACTACTAGTGGTTAAAGTATAAAGTAAATACAAGGTGACTAGCTTTTTAGTCAACTGCTGCTTAACAAAGACATGAAGAAAGTTGCATGGACTTACAGTATTTCTTCTGTTCCAGGCTTGAGATCTCTTGGAATGACTATTGCACAGTGCTATGAAGAAGTTGGACTACTGCTGCTTTTTCTCTCTGTGGGAATATCTATATTTTCCACCATAGAGTACTTTGTTGAACAAGCTATCCCTGGCACAACTTTCACAAGTGTTCCCTGTGCATGGTGGTGGGCAACAACTTCTATGACAACTGTTGGCTATGGTGATATTAGACCAGACACTACCATTGGCAAGGTAGTGGCCTTTATGTGCATATTATCAGGAATATTAGTCTTGGCTTTACCAATAGCTATAATAAATGACCGTTTTTCTGCCTGTTACTTTACACTAAAGATAAAGGAAGCTGCTTTTCGACAACGTGAGGCTTTGAAGAAACTCACAAAGAACACATCCAGTGACTCGAATATCAATGTTAATTTGCGAGACATATACGCTCGCAGTATCATAGACATATTACGGTTAAAAAGCAGAGAACGGGCAAGTACTAGAAGCAGTGGTGGAGATGAGTTTTGGTTTTGACTTGAATTTATAAAATCATGTTTAACATATGGACTACTTTGAAGGTGTAATATTAAACAGTAGGTCAACTGTCATTTTATATTATTCACTCTTAATGCATTTGCTATCCAAACTGCAGTTTTATCTTCTTGGTAATATTAAGATAAACCATGTAGACTGAAGGCAAAACTCAAACTAGAAATGCTCAGGGGGCTTTGAAACCCAAGTTTCAGAACTAGATCTTCAGATGGACAAAAAGCATAATGGACCTGTCAAAGTAGAATTATGATAGAAATATTTGTCTATGAATTTGATGTTCTTGCTAACATAATAAAAAAGTCTTAGCCCACAATTGCCATGGTGTTTTGAATGTTAAAGAACTTCAGGGCTTTACTTTTCAGTTGAAAAATGGAAGATTAAGAACAGGAAGAAAATCTGAAAGGAAAGAAGCTTAAGGGATAAAGCTCTGACTATTTATGTTACCTTTTTATATTATCTATGTATTTTTTTTAGACACATGGATAAGTCAGGAGGCTTATCCTTGTCCCTGCCCTGCTCACTATTTGCTGTGGCATAGAGCAATGGAATAGGCTAAGGGACAATTTGCCCATCCAAAGAACATAGGAACCTAGGACCCGAAGGAGCCTTCAGGACTATTGAAGCCAGCCTCACAACTAGTTCTAGAGCTGGAAAGGTGGAATGGGAAGGGAGACAGCCAGAGTCTGCAGTATCATATAGAGGTTAGATTGCAGTAGTCTGTAGACAGCTCTGTGTGTTAGCACAGTCCCTGGGGGGTTGTTCTAGTCTATGTTTTAGTTTCTACAGCCCAAAAGTAACTTAAAAACTATCATTGCTCCTCTCTCCTGTGCCTGTTGAGAGAGAGAGGCCAGAATCAAAGCCCTGATATTCCAAGAGTATTGTACGCTTACCAGTCTATATAAACAGTTTCATCACTTTCAATATGACAACCCATCTTCAGAACAGTAGTGTCAACATTTCCATGGAAAGAGTTTATTTTAATTAGCTAGGTTAACACCAGAAAAAGCCGAGTTCTCTATCCACAGAAGAGGTGGTAAGACTCAGGTTATGGCTTTTCATGAAAATCAGCAGGTATTTTGAGTGGCTCAGAATTCCAAGGTCCAGTTTTAAAAAGTTCATGGTTTTCACTGAACCATAATTAGAGAAATCCTAGATTTAAATGCATTATGCTAAAAAAAAAAATAGGTGTGCTCAGGGTATATTTTATGCACATAATATAATACAATACAGCAGTCTAAATATTAAGGCAAGTTTTTGCCCTCTGTAAAATGGACTGTTGTTGAAAATATTTTTGTACAGTATAAGGGACAATGTATTTGTAAAAAAAAAACAAC